ATATCGCTGTTATGTAACGTGGTAGGTCTTTAGTCCAGTAGCTTCGTTAACCTACTTAAACAACTGGCTGGGTTTTCTCACACTCATTCTTGCTGTCCTAGCCCAGCAGACTAGCATTGCTAGTGTGGAATGCTGCCCTTGATACCTGAAAGCAGAGGGGCTGGGATTGCTTCTTGCATCCTTGTTACTTCCTTATGGTGTTGAAATGAGTCCTCTGTATCAGTTGATGTTGTGAGTCACAGAGAAACTTAGGTAATCAAAGGGAGCACCTCAGCGGAATGTAATTTTATTCTTATTAAATTATCAAGGAGTGAAATAGAAGTGGACTTTTAACAACAGTCTTCCTTTGAGGGGTGCTCTAAATCCTCCAGGCCAGGTGGCAGGGCGGGTACATGGATGGGCAAGAAGGTGCCCTCTGCATCACCTTCCTGAGAATGGCTGGGACAGAAATGAGAGGTTTTTCCCCAGCTCGTACCTAACCTGATTTCGCTCTCTCTCTTCCTACTTACCATCTGATTTTATACTGTGTGACACAACAGGGAAAATAACAAGAACCAACCCCATTCGATTAAAAAAACAAACAACCCCTTACCAATTTCTGAAATATCTGATATTTCGTTCCAGAAAATGTCATCAATTTACTGATTTTTTTTTTTCACTCGAAAGAAGGGACTGTGGAGACAAGAGTGTAGGGCAGTGTGACTTAAGCGTTTTAAGTTCTGTTTCACTTAAATTTATTCTACTCACATTGATTACAAGGCAACAGGAGAAAGCTTTGAGGATTAAGGACAAGTAAATTCAACCACAGGAGCTTATGAGTAGCTAGGTTCCTTTTAAAAAGATCAATAAATGAATATTTTAAACTTCCACTGACCTTGCCGGAAGTATTCTGTTTGAGCCATATTCTCATAAATTAGTCATCTTTTTGCAAAACAGCTGTGGCAATTTGACACAATAGAAAGAGCAGTGATTTAGGAATGGGGAGTTGGGAGGTGTTGTCTTGGCACATTCACAGGGAGATTAAATGACAGGCCAACGTCCCCTGGATGAGGAAGCCATGCATGGGAGGATTGACGCAGATGGTCTGTCTTTAAAAGGCTCTTCTGTGAGTCTGTGCTGCAGTCTGGAAACCACAGAGAGAACTCACCAGGAAAGTGTGGGAGAGCGGAGAAGCCTCAGCTCATGCAGAGCTGCAGTGTTGCTCTAGAGTACAGTTACCATTCTCTTGGGGGGCAAACACATATGAGTCAGGATTCTCTTGTACCTAAGAGATGGCCGCCTCGTGGGTTTAAGCAGGAAGGTACTAAAGGGCTTGCAGGACTGTTGGGGGATGGGGGGATTGCTGGAGAAACAGACTCCAGGCTGAGCTTCCAGGAACAACGCTCGAAGTTACAGCACACAGAACTGGGCTGCCAGGCCAGCTGCTGCCTCTGCCGTGAAGGGGAGCCTTAAACCAGGAAGCTGCCTGCCTGGTCGGAAAGCTGCCACCAGTTTCCAGCAGCAGGAGAACCTTGCCTCTGCTTCCGTCTGTCTCAGCGTAGTGAAGGCCGTGTGCCCGGCCTCTCCTTCCTGACTCAGGTCCTGGTGCACATCTTGTCCAGTCTTTCTGACGGGAGCCTAAATCCCCCACCTGAAATCCTAGCTGCAGGGGGGTCCCGAAATGTCATCTTTCCAACCTCTGTGTGCCAGGTGGGGATTAGATTCACATCGACACACCAACCTGTTGTATCCACCACGGACAGTAAGCTAACTGTTTTATGATAAATAACATTTGGGGTTTTTTTTGCAGTTTACAGTTACATCCTTTTTATTTAGAGCTCATGTCAAGTCACTCTACATAGAAAAATGCTATCTCTGGCCATTCCGGAGAAAACATCTCTGATACAAATTAAGAGCGGTACCCACTTTATTTCCTAAAATGCAAAGCTGGTACGGAAAACAGGATTTTCAGTTTGCGATCCCCCTCCCCAATTTGTTTCTCTTCTCGACGTTGGTTGTTTCCATCTGTGTCCTGTGTCCCGTGGGGACATCCTCCACCTTTTCAATCTGATTTGCTCTTTGCCGTGCAGACCTGTGAAGGAAGATTCGGAGCCCTCCGAGGTGGATGCTCCTGGCCCGTGGCACGGCGGCTACGTGAACAGAACTCCTCCGACATCTTCAGAGTCTGCAACCACCGTTAAATCCCTTATCAAGTCATTTGACTTGGGGCGTCCAGGTATTTCGTCATTTTGTTTCATAAGCAAAACTCAAATTCAGACCGTGGCCCCATGGATCAAGCCCATCCTCCACCACCCTGGTCCCACGTTGGCGTGACCACGGGGCCCTTCCCAGACCATCCACGTGTAGACATGGTGCATGATGCCCTCTGGGGCTCCAGTGAGACAACAGAGAGAGTCAGCTCTCCTGTCCTCCTCTCTGCAACTCCAGTTCCTGCCTCTCCACCTTCCTCTTCTGCCTCTGTGTCTGTTAAATCCAGGTCACTGCTGAACGCCGCCTTACCATCTCGTGAGGATTAGCAGGGTCAGCCAGAGGCTTCGTCTCTTGGGAAATGAGGCGCTGATCTGTGTGTTCGGCTGCCTTGCTGACACCCTGGGCTCCTTTATCCTAGAACGTGCTGTTACATGCTTCTCCCCCTGGTCTTGTGTGTGGCCGCTGGCGCTGATCTGTCGTTCCTGATCGTGGGACATTCCCAGCTTTTTCTGGCAATGTCTGCCTGGCTCACAAGTCACCTTTAGTCACTGTTACCGCCACATGAGAAAAATGCATCTCTATACTGTACACCCATAAATACAGTAAAGAGAAGAAACCAAATGTGCCTGTATCCAAAATGCAATATATTTCTTCCCTTGATTGCAACAGATATGCCTGTTGTATTGGAAGGCCAGGGTAACAGCTAATCCTAGGATGCTGTCTCTGCTAAAATAGTTTGGGGCTAAATTAGATGAAGATTAGACTACAAAGACTGGAAGCTGTGACGGCTCAGTGACTACACTCGGTCTGTGAAGGTGGGAAAGGAATGAACAATAATGGTTAATGCAAGAGCGTTCTGTTCTGCCTGCTGTAGGTGACTCATCACCTGTGTGTTTTCTTGTTCCGCGTGTGTCCTGCATCGAAGGCCAGCCCCCATTTAGTTAACTCCCCCCAACTCATTCCCCAGTTCAATACTGGTCCAGGGCAGAAGTGGGTGAAAGAGTATACGTAATACCTAATTAGCATCATGGGATACTTTTTTAGTCACCAAAAAGAGTAGCAAGTCAGGAACTATTATTTGCTGTTCTGAACCAGAGCAGCGTAGAAATGTCCCCATCTCTTTTCTTGGCAGGTGGAGCTGGGCAGGACATTTCTGTCCATAAGGCCTCCAGGAGCCCCCTGAGCGGAATCCCCGTGAGGACCACTCCAGCTGCCGCTGTTTCTCCAATGCAGGTATCAGAGCCAACGGCGTGGGGTGGGGGGTAGGGCTGGTGTCACACGGTACCCAGGCAACAAAAGGGAACCAAAAACCAGTGGGTTTATTTTTTTGAGGCACATGGAACATTTTTTTAGTACGCCTAAAATAATAATAATGAAACTTTCATTAAAAATTGCCTTTTGATTCCTGAGGAAGTTCTGAGATGCTGCAAACGACATACGGTTTTTTTTTGTTTGTTTGTTTTGTTTTGTTTTGCGATACGCGGGCCTCTCACTGTTGTGGCCCCTCCCGTTGCGGAGCACAGGCTCTGGACGCGCAGGCTCAGCGGCCATGGCTCACGGGCCCAGCCGCTCCGCGGCATGTGGGATCTTCCCGGACCAGGGCATGAACCCGTGTCCCCTGCATCGGCAGGCGGACTCTCAACCACTGCGCCACCAGGGAAGTCCCTGTCATACAGTTTTGTTAATGCCTCTTTCTTGGTTTCCCATAAGATGACACTGTCAAAGATTTCAGTTAAATGAAGGTTGTAATTTTTATTAGAAGTGGACATTGAACTGGGTATATTACTCAAGCAATCGATTTTTTAAAATGCCCCCAGAGAGAGAGAATGTTTACAATTTATAAATTCTTAGAGTTCACTGCATGTAAAACCTGAAGGTTTTAGACCACAGCCTCTCGGCATTTCTATGACCAGGGCCTTTGTTGTTATCAGTAGCACTCAGCATTTTGCCTCTGCTGAGCTAAGGTTGATCTTGTCATCAACAGGTTCCATTTTTGATGTTATTAGTAGTTATGGATATTGTTTGGGATCTTTTAAGCTTTAAAAAAAATACTTTTTTCACTTTTTTGCCCTTGAAGGTAACTTCCACCACCTTCTGTGTAAAACCAAATAAAACAATTATTTATTTTATGATAATCATTTTTTATTTAATAAAAGTGAAAGAGGTCATGCTTCATTTTTACTTATCTTTATTGAGCTATAAACACAAGTTTGCTAGTAAATGTTTTACAACTGGCTCCTTGGGGGAAAGAGCCCGGATTTGTAGTGTTTGCCAATTTCTTGGTAAACATTCCCGTTGTGGCCAACTTCAAGCTTTTTCTACGACCTCAGTGCATATGGGGTTGAGAAGAGATGTACATTAGATAGTATTTGTACAAGACAGACACAGCAGGTATGAAAACCCCATTAGCAAAATGTAGAAAAATAATTAGGAAGCAACGAGTTTTGAGTATTTATTACTTTTGCTTTTAACATAGTCTCATTTTAATAACAGCTGTGTTTAGTAGCTTAGCCTGCACAATTCCTGAAGATTTATCAATCGGCCCTATGAGCAGGTACACACCAGCTGCAGCACACCACTGGCTATAATTCACATACCATGAAGTACAGACCTCTTCAATACATAACTTGAATGTTTCCATGTGTAACCAACACCAAGATAAAGCATGTCTGTCACCTCAGAAGGGGCTCTCATGCCACCATCTCGTCAGTGACCCCTTAGAAAGAACCGTTCTCTGACCTCTCACCACAGATTAGTTCTCTGTGACCTCAGACTTTGTCACTGGATTGTTTTGCTCAACGTTGAGTCTGTGAGATTCATTCCTGTTTTTGTGGCAGTTCTTTTTTCGTTGCGGTGTCATGTTCCTTTGTGTAAATATACCATTCTACTGATGGTTTATCCATCCTACTGATGGTTGACTTTTAGATTATTTCCAATTTTTAACTCGTGCTTATTTAATTTTATAAATTTATTTATTTGTTTATTTTTGGCTGCGTTGGGTCTTCGTTGCTGCGCGCGGGCTTTCTCTAATTGTGGCGATCAGGGGCTACTCTTCCTTGCGGTGCGCGGCCTTCTCACTGAGGCAGCTTCTCTTGTTGTGGAACATGGGCTCTAGGCACGTGGGCTTCAGTGGTTGTGGCATGCGGGCTTAGTAGTTGTGGTGCACGGGCTTCGTTGCTCTGTGGCATGTGGGATCTTCCCGGACCAGGGCTCGAACCCACATCCCCTGCATTGGCAGGCGGATTTTTAACCATTGCACCACCAGGGAAGCCCTTGTGCTTATTTTTCAAATACCTTTTTTTTCCAAAAATTTCAGTATAAAAGGGAAAAAGTGAAAAATCCCCCTTGTTCCCTAGCCCCAGAAATAACCACTCTTTATGGCTTGTTGTGTATTGTAGATGTTTCTCTTTAACATAAAAATGTGTGGGGCTTCCCTGGTGGTGCAGTGGTTGGGAGTCTGCCTGCCAATGCAGGGGACATGGGTTCGAGCCCTGGTCTGGGAGGATCCCACATGCCGTGGAGCAACTAAGCCTGTGAGCCACAACTACTGAGCCTGCACGTCTGGAGCCTGTGCTCCGCAACGGGAGAGGCCGCGACATTGAGGGTCCCACGCACTGCTATGAAGAGTGGCCCCCGCTCGCCGCAACTGGAGAAAGCCCTCGCACAGAAACGAGGACCCAACACAGCAAAAATAAATTTATTTATTTTTTTAAAAAAAAGTGTGTATGTGTGTGTGGGGGGGAGTGTGTGTGGGGGTGTAGTGAGGGAGAGAAAGTGTTATAAATTGGGTTACACTACATGTTATTCAGACATTGGCTCCTTTCGCTTTGTCATTGGCATGTACCCCTGAGGGCAGGGATTTTTTTATCCCTTTGGCTTGATGTTATATCTCTTGTCTAGAACAGTGGCTGCACATAATTATATCATAGTAGAAGCTCAATAAATATATGTTGAATAAATGAAGGAATATATCAGATATCTTTAAATGTCAGTGTTTGGAGAAATAATTCATTCTTTTTGAAGGGTGTATGATAATGCAGTGATTAACTTAACCACTCCTCTGTTGATAGGCATTTAGGTTGTTTTGGATTAAACTTATTACAAAAGTGGGGCTTCCCTGGTGGCGCAATGGTTGAGAGTCTGCCTGCTGATGCAGGGGACACGGGTTCGTGCCCCGGTCCGGGAGGATCCCACATGCCGCGGAGCTGCTGGGCCCGTGAGCCATGGCCGCTGAGCCTGCGCGTCTGGAGCCTGTTGCGCGTCTGGAGCCTGTGCTCCGCAACGGGAGGGGCCACAACGGTGAGAGGCCCACGTACCGCAAAAAAACAGACAAACAAAAAAAAAGCAAAACAAAAAGCTTATTACAAAAGTGAAATTCCTTCTACAAATTTTTCCCCACTCAAGGGGCTATTTCTCTATGAATGTGTATCCCCATTCTTTTGTAAGTACGTCAGTCACTCTAGCTAGTTAAGCAGGAAGGAATTTAACACAGGGAAGGCTGCAGGGGAAGCTCTGATCTGCACTGAGCTTCAGCAAACGTTCCCAGAACACCCCAGAGTTGGCCCATTAAAGGAACATCTATTTCTGCCAGAATCAGGAAGTCTTCCTCTAAGTGCAGCCTGGGACCACTTCTGTCAACATCTAGGTTCAGCCTTTGGGCCACGGCACAGGTGCAGCCCCTGTCAGCAGATCCTGCCCTCTAGGTTCATCCAGGTCGTAGCTAGTGACAGGATTCCTTTCTTTTTTAAGGCTAAATAGCATTCCATTGCATACAGAGACTTCCTTTATCCATTTATCTGTTAATAAATTTTTAGGTTGTTTCCACCTCTTGGCTAATGTGAATCATGTTACAGTGAACATGGGTGTGCAGGTACCTCTTCAAGATCCCATTTTCAATTCCTTTGTGTATCTACCCAGAAGTGGGATTGCTGGATCACGTGGTAGTTATATTTTTACGTTTTTGAGGAACCTCCCTACTGTTTTCCATACCAGCGGCACCGTTTCACATTCCCACCAGCAGTGCATGAGGGTTTTCTCCACACCCTCACCAACAGTTGTTTTTTCTGTGGTGGTTGTTTTTTTTATAATGACCATCCTTACAGGTGTGAGGCGTTATCTCATTGTGGTTTTGATTTGCTTTTCCCTGATGACTGGTGATGTGGAACATCTTTTCATGTACCCGTTGGCCATTAAAAAACAGTATTTTTTTACACGCACCCTTGAATATACATAGAATATTCCAGGAAGATGTTCACAAACCTGATTAATAACAATTACCCCAGGGAGAAGAACTGGGTGATGGGAGTGAAAGGGAGACTTTGTTTTCACTGTGTCCCTTCTGTTCCTAATAGGATCTATTACCTATTCAAATAAAGAAGTCGTTTTAAAAGGTCCCCCTGGGGATTCTAACGAGCTTGAGAACTGTTATATGCGCGTGCGCACACATGCACCCGCACACACACGCATACACGCACACACCCCTTGCTCATGCTGTGCCTGATGTGACACGTCCACCTATGTGCGGGTACCTTTTGGTTTCAGAGGCATTCAACCTTCAGTAGTGCTCGGCCGGCCAGCAAAGGAGTGACTCAGCGCTTGGATCTCCCAGACCTTCCCCTCTCAGGTAAATCACCTTAAATAGGAAGTAGTTTTGACTTACGTATGGTGAGGTTAACTTTTCTTCTTTTCTTTGCATGAAACTGAGCTTAGAAAAAGAATCATTTATTTGCAATAAGTGGCATTTGTCGCAAACAATTTCAAGTTCTGAGTGTATGTGTTATGGACACAAGACCCCAGCTGTGTTCTGCTGGCTGCACCTCTCAGGGTGCATGAGTTTGGGAGAAATGTCAGGCTCTGGAGGTCTTTTGTCTGTTCTTTTAACTAAATCTCAAGAGACTATCTCATCTTTAAAAGAAACTATTTTGAGAAAAAAATCTTATCTGATTCTGAAGGTCTGTTGCTCCCACAGTACCTAAAATATGCCTCTTCTGAGCCGTCTTTGTCTCTGAGTGTAGACCTCTTCCTGTTGTTACGCCATGTTTTAAAAACTTCGGATCCCGACAGCGAAGCGCTGCTTGTGACCGCAGGGCCACACGCGCCTCATTTTCGCTCCTGCTGCACGTGCCGTGCTGATGGCCGATGTGAAGGAGCTGTTGAGGGGGAACCGGGGCGGGATGGCGTGCGGGCTTGCACCTTGGCCCCCCTGCTGCCTACGGTCCGGCTCTGGCCCGGCTGTTCCAGCCCTCGGCGCTGGGGTTCCCCCATCTCCGAAACAGAAATCGTGCCGTCCGCCTCGCGGGACGGCCTGGAGGGTTGAGTGAACCCAGCCGGGCTGGGGACAGAGCCGCGGAGGGGCTGCTGTCACCTAACGCACTGTCGCCTGTGGAGTCAGCTCACACCCCAGAGCCGGGAGGCGTCAGCGGAAGGTTCCGGCTGTGTAGAACGTTCACCCTGGAAATTGATGGCTGGCTGCGAGGTCACTGCTATGAGGAAACAAAAACAATGAAAAGAACACTAACTGACGTATTCCTGGTGCCTGTTAGAAGGAGAGAAAGCCAGAAATCTAGATCGCATGGAGAGAAATCCTTTGTGTCTTTTAAGCGTCAGTTTCTGTGACATGGTGAATTAAAAAGACATCCCCACTATCCTTTTTTTAGGTCATGGTCAAACACAGGTTTATCCTTAAAATAGTTGTTTCTGTGAGATAAGTTTTACCCTTTGACTGTAAACTGTTTCACCTCACCACCTTATTTTTTTCGCTTCTGAATTTTTTCTTTTTCATGGAATTAATAGGATTTTAGCCTTAGATAAACCCCGACATTGAGAATTTAAAGATTACCTTGGTCCGTTCCCTGCATTTTACAGGTAAGAGACTCAAGCCCTGAAGAGCTTAAGCGATTTACAAAGGCCACACTGATTTTGAGTAGCTCTGGGACCAGGATAGGATTTTTCCTGATTCTTTCTGCCCGGCTGCCTTCTGGTGACGAGGCTGGCGATCGCTCTGATAGCAGCTTCATAAAGAAGTGGTCACGGTTTGTATAGGACTTCAAGTTGTCATAATGACTTCCAGGAAGAGGAAATGGTGACCAGAGACCACGGGTTGTCCAGGGTCAGAGGAATAAGGAAACCAGAGGGGGTGCCCGCGCTGAGTTCTCCACATTTGTTTGCCACATAGTGTGAAATAGGAATGACTTGGTTATAAGCACAGGGCTGTGTGTGTTATTTTTTTCAATTGTGGTAAGATATGTGTAACGTCAGATTTACCATCTGAACCATTTTTCAGTGCATCAGGTGAACTTTTGGTCTTAGTATTGGTAATCTCTGTTCCTCCAGCTCTAAAGTTTCCTTTGTGTAGAGAAACCGTTCTTTTCATTGACAAGATAAATACTGACGCTGAGGCCACAGCGGCGATTGCCCGGCAGTAAATAGTTCATCCTCAGCCACCCGCCTTTCCCCCCCGCAGGCCCCTGTCCACCCAGGTGATTCTGTTTACTTGGCTCAGAAAGGACTGCACGGTGACAGTTGTCTGCTTTCTGGCCAGCCTTGCAGCATCACGTCCCCAGAAGCTGCAGGACTGGCGTTAATACACTGTTTTTGTTGTTCCCTTTAGTGGTGTAGACTCTGTTTTTCTCTGCTCTTCCCAGCTAATTAGCCTCACTCCCAGCTTGAGCACCCATAATTGATGCTATCAGCTGCGCAAGTATTGTTTTCTCCACGACTGTGGCGTCAGAGGAGGGACGCTGGGCTCGGCCTGGTCACCAGCTGTGTGTGGCATCAAGCAAGTGACCAGTTTCCTGCTCCCAGACCCTCTGCACATACGAACTAGACAGTCTTGGGAATTTTCTCCCATTCTGCACTTTTGTGATCCTTCAGGAAATATCCTCTGGAGGGTTAGGCTGTTTCATTAGCTCTTTTGCCACAGACTAATAGGACAGCAGAGAGGAGCCTTAGTAGAAATACCGTGACTGATTTTTGGCAAGCCAGGCCCTGTGGTTGGCATGGCTTCCTGTCCTGGGAAATGGGTGTCATTCCTGTTCCAGCATTTTGACCCGATAATCCCACTAGAGGTCTTCCTGCTGGCGCCCTCCCTCAGATGCGCGTTCATTAGAACATGGCACTTCACCGGGGGTCGGGCTGGCTTCATAGGCCTGGCCACCTGCGCACCTGCCAAAGGCTCTTAGAAGCAGGATCTCTGTTCAGTGCCCTGCTGGTGCCATCTTGAAATTCAGAGTAATTTTTGAACGAGGGGCTAACTTGGCATCAGTCCCTATGAATTACGGAGCCAGTCCTGCCTGGAGAATCCTTTCTGGAAAACACCACGCCCCCGTTTGCATTTTCATCACTCAGCCCAGAACGTGTCTCTGTGTGTCTCCATCTGTGTCTGTTGTGTGGTTTTAAAGATCATTTTACTGGAGTGCAGTTGACTTAAAATGTTGTGTTGGTCTCAGGTGCACAGCAGAGTGAGTCAGTGTCCGTTGTGCGTTTGTACGTGACACTGATGTGAGGATTGTACTGGAGAGCGTGGTGACCCGTCGGGTCTCTCCTCCTCACACAGGCGATTCTCTTGTCCCCACAGATCTTCTGAAGGGAAGGGCCGAGGACCTGAGACCAGACCCTTATCTCCGCAAGAGCCCCTCGCTCGAGTCCCTGAGCAGACCTCCTTCTCTGGGCTTCGGGGGCTCCAGGCTGCTGAGCGCTCCCACCGGAGGCTGGAAGCCACAAAGCAAACTCAGGTATCCATCAGAGCCTGTTATGTCTCCTGCCTTTGCAGTGTCACACCAGCAATTCTGACTGCTGACGAGGTTCAGGCCGAACTGTCTTCCTTTTGTCCTTTCACACTCCTCTAAATACCACTTCTCCATCTGTGTCAGCCCTTCCCTGAGGTTGCAGCTCACCACCCGGTATCCGGGACACCCCCTTTTCTGCCTTTGGTGTCTGACACCCATTTGGTGTTTAATTTACCGTTGCATAGTATGTGTGCCATGGTCCCCGTTTGGGCTGTAATCTAGTGGACAGTAAATACTTCATCTTAACACTTTAATCTCTTTCTCAGCCCCTTGTATTGTGCTACACTGAGCCTTTCAGTAAATATTTACGAATAGGCAGGTAGATGAATACACAAAATGGGCTACTTTAGAAGTAATGGCTTTTTAACATACGTTAGAACTACCATTATGAGTATTATAAAAGGATTTTATATAAGTCTGAATACCTCAGGCCAGCTGTTGTCATATCTTTGGGTGTGGCCTATATTTGGACCCAAATAGATGAGGTCATATCTTTCAGAGGTTTAATTTAAAGCCCCAGATATTACATTTCTGTCTTGTTTATGTGCAAGAGATTTAAATAACCAAAACAGGCTTTAAGTACCAGAATTAGTGCTATTCTGAAATTTCTCTTTTCTTTATGCCAGAAATGTATATAAACAGCCTATGTGTATATTAATATGCTATTTATATTATACATTCGTCATGAAAGGTTAGATTAGTGAAGTTAATTTGTTGTTTCATTTTTATATTCATGTTATTGAGACAAAACAATAATAGAATAGAAATTATTTACTTTGGAAATTCTCATATTATTATTATTGCAATCATACCTAGTTAACTTTATAATTTTAAAGAAAACTGGTAAATGTTTTATTTGTTTATGCAGAAAATCTTTTCCAAGGCTTCCCTCAGTCTTCTCTGATTTGTCAGGCCTAGAAACTTGGCTGACAAATTTGATGAGTTAAGTGATGAATTAAGACCAGGCATAGTAAAAACAGGCAAAATCCCCAGAACTTCATCGTTAACGGTGATTCTGACCACAGAAACTCATGGACCTCAATTTACAAATATGCTGGGTACACGGGAGAGAAATCACCTGAGGTCCAGAAGTGTCCCGTTACTCTTTTAAAAGTCATTGTAATTAAATAGTGAATGGATACAAAAGAAGAAGAATAAAATATGTCTAAGGCATGAAGAATTAACAGTACAATGGAGATGCACCTGGGTACTTACCTTCTAGTTTACGGAAAAGAAAATCATTACTTTTGAAATTTCCTATCAGCCGTTTCATTGGTATCACCTCCCTGCCCCCCCATTCTGAACTTGCCTTGCTTTTCGTTATACTATCACCATGTATGTTTGTACCTCTAGCAGTATAAACTATATTATTTAAATTATATGTTTAACATTTTGTATACATGGAAAATCTTGTGTTTATTTCCATTTTTTTAAATTCAAAATTGTTCCTGTGATTCACCCACATTATTGCATACATCTGTAACTCTTTAGTTTTTATTGGTATACAGTATCCCCTTGTATGAATATACCACAGTTTATCCATTTCCTGATGAGGTACATTTGCTTGTTTCCAATTTTTTGCTATTATAAAAAGTGCTGCTATGAACATTCTTGTATATATGCCCTGATGATACATACATCGGGGAGGAAATCCTATTACTCTTTTCTAAAAAATTGAGGTATAGTTGATTTACAATATTATATATGTTTCAGGTGTACAGCATAGTGATTCACACTTTTTAAAGGTTATACTCCATTTATGGTTGTTATAAAATATTGGCCATATTCCCTGTGCTGTACGATATATGCTTGTAGATTTTTTATTTTACATGCAGTAGTTTGTACCTCTTAATCCCCCCACCCTTATATCGGCCCCCCTCCACTGGTAGACACTAGTTTGTTCTCTATATTTGTGAGTCTGTTTTGTTCTATTCACTAGTTTGTTTTATTTTTAGATCCCACATATAAATCCTATCATAGAGTATTTGTCTGTTGCTCTTAAATTGTTGCTACGGGTGCCGCTCCAGACGTGCACCACCTCCTGTTCTCCCTCTACTCCTAGTGGTGTAGGGAAATAGAATACTGTTCACATGCTATAGGAATGTAGTTCTCATTTCATGATATTCGTCATGGAAGACACTGTGTGATCTTTAGTCCCTCTTTAGTATTTGGATAATTTTAGGTCACATACAAAGTATAGGTGTCTATAGAAAACTGAGGCTGGGGCACCTAAACTCTTGCTCTTGGAATGATATGGTATTAATTAGTGAAATCACTTCCTTTGGCTAAACAGGTGCTCAGAATTGAGTTCCTGCACCATAAACTGAGGAGTATGAGTGTCACCTTCAGAGTATCGGGTCCCCCCCCCGCCATTTTGAGTCAGTTTTACCAATTTTGTTTTTCATCTCCATTCCCATCACTTCCCCACAAGTAGCCAATCTGGTGTTTTTAAAATGCCCTTCCAATCTACCTTTTATTTGTTACATGGAAATAGGTGTAGCCTTGAAGCATGCAGAGTGTTTTTCTATAGGTGTCTTTAATTAAAATGATACTGTACATAAGTATTGATACATAAATAAAAGGCTAGAAGGATGGAGCAGCAGATAGATTAGAAAGAAAAAAAAACCCTCCTCAGACTTCTGAAAGCCAAGAAGCACAATTTACTTTCTCTTTCATACCATGAGACATAATAAAAATGTATTGTTGATGGGACCAATTTGGTGGTTTCTTTAGAGTCTCACTGGATAGACCTCGACTTTTGCTTTTCTAATCTAGTTAGTTGTTCCCTACGTATTTGTGGGTTTTAAAAGTTAGCATCTTCTCTGTACTGTGTGCTCTCCTTTCTAACTAGCGTGGAAAGAAGAGACCCCCTGGCTGCCTTGGCCCGGGAATACGGTGGCTCCAAGCGCAACGCTCTTCTGAGGTGGTGCCAGAAGAAGACAGAGGGCTACGCGGTAAGGGGCGGTGGCAGCCAGCGTCCAGCGGCTCGGGGGGGCGGGCGGGGTCCTGTGTCCTGCGTATGTACTGGCCTGGCTGGGCCACTGTGCCTGTCACTGTTGGCTTCTGTTCTCACAGGCGGGGTTGCCAGGGAGGGAGATGTCTGTGCGGCCCCAAGGGCCCCGTCGGAGAGGCGGGCGGGACTGAAGGCCCGTCTGTACTCCCAGCAGACGTGACCTCAACGCAGGCCTGCGTCTCTTACGGGAGGGGGCCCTTTCCTTTGCTCAGAGGAGGTATAAACCCCCAAGCAGGGCGCCCGACAGGCTGCTCAGCCCGAGCAGACAGCTTTCGCTAAATCATCTTCCCAAAGAGGGAGCCGTTTCCTAATTCACATAAAGTCCCCACATGGTGGACCTTCAACTTCTTCTGTTACTTTAGGAGTTGCTTGCATTTAGTTGAAGAGTTTCGGTTTGCTGGGACAGTTTTTATTTTCCGTGAAGTTTAAACAAGGAAGTAATACCTGATATAAGTTTAAGTTTTTTTATTATGAAATTTCATATACAAAGACAAAAGCACGTCAAGTGTGAATCATAGTTTCATGAATTATTGTCAAGTGAAAACCCACGGAGTCGCACCCAGAAACGGCACTGCCGTCCTTCAAACCCTTTGTGTGATTTTCCTGTCATAGCCCCTCACGACTCCCACAGGTACCTTTGTCCTCAATTCGGTTCCTGATAGCTTTCTCCAAAAGTGTGCATCCCTAAATGCCACGTCCGTTTTGCCCACATTTGAACTTTATATAAATGGAAGTTAAAAACTGTAGTATTTCCACCTGTCTTTTTAAGTTAAGTTACTGAGATTTATCCATGTTGCTGCCTATAACTGTAAGTCTGTTCATTTTCTTCAACCCATCAGTAACCTATTGTATGATCCCACCGTTATTCATTTATCCCTTCTGCTGTTGATGGGCAGGTGAGTTACTTCCCTTCTGGGGCTGTCATAAATCCTGCTGGTATGTTCTTGTACTCCTCTTGGAACACACACGTGCTCATTCCTTCTGGATCTATACCTAGAAATGGAACGGCTGGGCCACAGGATGTGCGTGTGTTCAAGTGTGGTAGATCGTGCCAGCCAGATTCCCGAAGCAGTTGTACGGTTTACCTCCCACCAACGATTTATGAAATTTCTGTTTTCTCTACCTTCTCCCCAGCACTTGCTGTTGTCAGTCTTTTTGCTCCTGGTCATTTGGACGCATGTGACGTGGGGTCTCACTGTGGTTGTGACTTGGCGTTTCCCTGCTGGAGGGTGAGGTTGAGCTCCTTTTCATGTGCTCACTGGACATCTGTCTGGGCTGTCTGTCTTGGGACACCTGCTCAGGCCTTTTGCCCATTTTTAGAAGCAGACTGTCTTTCTTTCCTTATTGCTTCCAGGAGTTCTTTATATATTCTGCATACAACAAGTCCTTTGTCAAATAGACAGATATCCTCTCCCAGGGTGGTTGCATTTTCACTCTTTGGTTGAACAAAGTTCTTCATTTCAGTTAAGTATAATTTATCAGCCTCTGACGATTAGTGCATTCTGTTTCTGTTTAAGGAACCTTTGACTATTCCACGGTCATGAAAACATCTTCTTACGTTTTCTTCTGGAAGTTGGACTGTTTTACCTTCCCGTTAAAGACACGCCCTCTTTAAAACGGCCAACTTCTCCACTCTCCTTATTCAGACCCAGCCTCCCGTGCCTTTAACCCCATTTTTCTAAAAATTCTGAAGCCGCCAGCACCACGACCCTCCTTCCCTAACCTCCAGCTTTTCAGGGTGGGAAGAAAACAAGGCCTTGGCCGAGAGCCAGCCCAGACGGCAAGGCAGCAGCTGGGATGTCTGTGTAACAGCAGCAGTCAAGCGTCTCAAAATCAGACTCTGCCCAAGGAGAGGAGTGTCCCGAATACGTGACATCACCTTCTTTTCATTTTCTGTTAAAAAAGGAAAAGAAAAGGTCAGGGTAATGACCAATAATAGAGGCTCCCAAGGTCAAAGGAGTCAGAGAGGAGAGCTGGTTACAGGAGGTTTCAGGGTGAAGGAAGTAGACCTGGTAACAGAAGAGTGAAAATGGGAAGGAGTAGTCAACCAGGCGCGAGGTCCAGCCATGGCCCAGCCCGTGGTCGAAGGGACTGTCATTTCCCCGATTGACAGAAGTGGGCTGAGGGACGTGCTAGAACAGGTACGAAAAGACAATTAAAATTTTCAGAAGGAATCAGCCCTTGAACGTGGAATGTCATTATGATTAGGTCACAGGGAGGGATTAGACGAGACATTTCCAGTCGTGTGAGAGAGAATGACATTTCCTGCTGTAGTGCTTTGTTTTACTTTGTTTTTTGTGAACATTCTGAACTAGTTTTCAAAGCATCTCACGTTGGATGAAACCCAAACTGATTTTGCCTGCAGAGTATCTTCCATTCATTGTTAAATCTCTGTAAACTTGGAGAGAAATACAAATCATATGTGTCTGATTTATTTACTCTTCACAAAATATTCTCTGTCTAGACCTGTTTGTTTAAGACAGGCCTTTAAAGCTTGTTCTCTCCGACTTGGGAAGCCAAAAGTAAATTGTAGAAAACTCAGACAGTTGAAAAACCATCTTTTTAAAAACCGGTAGCCATGTAATTTTGAGTGAAAATGATTTCTTTTTACCCCGCCAAAGTGTAGTGTGATGGGTTAGATCAGAACTCTCCTTATGGGACTTCCCGGTGGCGCAGTGGTTAAGAATCCACCTGCCAATGCAGGGGACACGGGTTCGAGCCCTGGTCTGGGAAGATCCCACATGCCACAGAGCAACTAAGCCCGTGCACCACAACTACCGAGCTTGCACTCTAGAGCCCGCATGCCACAACTGCTGAAGCCTGTGTGCCACAACTACTGAAGCTCATGTGCCTAAAGCCTGTGCTCTGCAACAAGAGAAGGCACCGCAACGAACAGTAGCCCCTGCTTGCCACAACTAGAGAAAGCCCGCACGCAACAATGAAGACCCAAAGCAGCCAAAAAAAAAAGGAACTCTCCTTATATTAATTCAATGAATTTGTATTGAGGTGCCAGTTTGGAGCCATGTAGTATTCAAGTGCTGGAAATGGAACAGGCAAAATCTCTGCTCCCGAGGAACTTACATTCTCATGGGGAACGACAGTTAATTAAAATATAAAAGGAAAATATGTACTGTATCAGCCAGTGGAATGTGCTAGGGAGAAAAATAAAGCCAGGAAGGAGGACTGGGAATGTCGGGGTCATGCGGATGCAATTTTAACACAAAGGTCGGAGAGGTGATTTTTTGGGTGATGGCTCAGCTCACCTGGAGAAGGCGAGGACTCATGTTTTCATCAGTGTTTATCTCACACCAAGTACGAGGCTTGGAGGTCATGGCCTTAGTGGTGCATCAGTTGGAGTTGAAGTAATGCGAGGTGGTTGCTTCATTTGGTGGCAGCGAAGGTTAGAACGGCCAGCCAGACCCTCGGCTGAGCCCCCGGCCCAGCTTTCTGGTGTCTTGGGGTTGCCCCAGGATGGAGGGTGGGCAGTAGAGCCTGAGCAGACCTGCACTGTGGGGTGGGGCCCACACTGAGCCAGAAATGGCTCTCATTAAAAGGAGAAGACCCTTCCAGACGGTCTGCTCAACTCAGATTTCCTTGGATCCTCTTGGGGAAAAGTCAGACTTCCGGGGAAGGCCCTGCAGCTGCCCTCAGTCTTGGGCTTGGCGCTGGTTATGCCTTTAGCTGTATCCCACCCGACCCACAGAACCCCTGCTACTCCCTTTCTTCATCTGCTTTTAGTTCCCTCTTTGGGGTTATGACAGAGAGATTTCCATCTCTAAAGAACCAGGAAGCGTTCTACAGGGGTGGAAAACCACGATGGTGGTGGGTGGGGTGAGCAGAATTCTAAGAATGATGCCCAGTGATCTTCGCCCTGTGGAGTTTCCCACTGTATATGTGACAAAAGGGAGATTACCTGGGTGGACCTAACACATGAACCCGTAAAAGCCGAGCGTTTTCTCTGAAGCATAAGGACCCGTACTGTCGGTGGGTGTGAAGGTGGAGGGTACGCGTGGAGAGGAGCTGACAGCCAGCAAGGAGACCAGGACTTTCCAGTATGGAGGCCTTGCAGCGCCGAGGTCCTGCCAACACCCAGGAAACGCCATGGGGGCACCCAGCAGTTCTGATGTGGACCGGCTGGTGCTGCAGGGTCCTTTGTCCCTTCTGTCCCTGTCCTGATGCCCTCGGACCTCAGCTAGGCTAAGAATGCTCGGCTTGCTTGGCCTTCTGCCGCCCCTTAGCTGAGGGGCCTTGACCTGTAACAATGATGAATGCGTGAAATTCAGCCCTGATATCGGCAAGGTCCTGGGACCTCCCAGGAAGCAGGACAGAGGCGCAGCCACCCCGCCCTCTGCAGGTGGCCCCTTGGCTGCATTCCCAGGGCCCTGCCGTGCCCTGGACTGCGGCCGACACTGGCAATTCCATCAAGGTCATATGGCAAATTTAAGAGGGCGAGTTCTGGCAACACCCTGAGTCAACTGGGAAGTGGATTCTGTCCCAGAGCCTCCAGGGCAGAGCCCGGCCCAGCTGACACCTTGACGTCTGAAGCAAAGAACCCAGTGGAGCTTGCCGGCACTTCTGACCCACTAAAACACAAGCTAACAGTAAATGGGTATCGTTTAAGCTGCCGCAGCAACAGAATGCTGGTAGAGTGGAGTTGCTGGGATCTGGACGTAACAGAGAGAACCCCAGATTCTTCCTTAGGGTCAGATTATTTACTTTTCCTACGTGATCAACCAGGGACAGACTTTTCTTCTTCAGGCCACTAGTGTACCATTCATTGAACGGTCAGCTCATGCTTAAAAGGCCCAAACTCCCCATGACTTTCAGGGAAGGATTTTTAAAGACAAAGAGAGGGAGAGGGCTGCAGGGTGTGTAATCAGCTCGAGCACATCCTTCTGATTGGCTGGAGGTGAGGCAACAGGTGGTGGTTCAGGAATCTTA